CCCCCGACCACAGGCCAAAGTGTTCACAACTTCAATCTCAAACCTTTCACAATGCTGTTACTACAGTGTTTAGCACAACAAAAAGACTATCAAGGGTTGCCCCTCAGAAAGCCCTCCTACCTGGATTGCAGTTCGCTATTGCAGAGTTCGATAGAACGAAAGAAAAGGCAAATGCTACAGCTTTCGACATCTCCATTTAAAATACATGCACACAATCCTTCATGACAGAGTGACAGAAAGCTGTCAGCAAAGCCATGCAGCAGAAAGATTCCACCTATCCACATACTCTCGCTGAGATCTGGTCAAATGAAATGGCACGAGCCATGGCTTCTGTGAATGGCACGAGGGATATAGTCGAAGTAAATGACTTGTAGAATACATCCACTCGTGAACGGAGCCTGCCTTTCACTCATAACTGGGCCTGTCTCACCAGGGGAAGCTAAAACGCTCGCTCCCGAGCAGGTTCACACTGCAAGCCTTATTTGTAAAGGTCTGTCGGACCCCTCTATTGCAAGTCAGCGACTGCAAATGAACCTACCTATGGCATCCCTGTGGCTCGTCTCGTGTCACAAAGGGAACCCATCTCACCAGAAAAGCAAAGATGACCACCACTCGTAAACGGAGCCTGTCTTTCACTCATAAACGGGGGCATGTCTCACCAGGGGAAGCTAAAAGGCTCGCTCGCTAGCAGCTTTTCACACAGCAAGCCTTCAGTTGAAAGTCAGCGACTGCGCATCAACCTACCTATGGCATCCCTGTGGCTCGTCTCGTGTCACAAAGGGAAGCCATCTCACCAGAAATGCAAACATGACCACCAATCATAAACGGAGCCTGTGTTTCACTCATCAATGCGCCTGTATTACCAGGGGAAAACAAAAAGGCTCGCTCGCTAGCAGGCTCACACTGCAAGCCTTATTTGTAGAAAAGGTATCTCGTACCCCTCTGTTGCAATTCAGCTTGCCAACTCGAGCACTTTAGCTTCCCGCTGTGCTGATGGAAGGAGGGGCCACAACAACAGGATGGCTTGCTTCAGCATCCTCACCTTTCATGTCTCACCCAAACCACAAATGAGCCTATCATCTCCACTTGAGATGCAAGGGCAGCAGCTTCAAAAGGCTGAAAAGAAACTTGGGGGTTCCAGCACCTCCAGCCACAAATGAGCCTACCAAAAGGCTGAAAAGAAACTTGGGCCTCCACTTGAGATGCAAGGGATTTCACACCAACAATACACCCCAAGTGGTCAGAGAACTGCTGAGATAACTACTGTAGAGGTCAGAGAAAAAAAGGTCAGAGAACTGCTTAGGGAACTGCTGATCCTCACCTTTTTCTTTGCAGAGAACTGCTGATCCTCACCTTTTTTCTGTGAGAGAACTGATGACCCTCACCTTTTTTCTGCGCTTTGAGCATGCTCACAGGAGCAGACAATCACTGTGAACACAGGCGACACTCCAGGGACATGCCATTGCAAGCTGCACACCATTCCACTCTGCAAGTTCCAAACCCCAAAAGTACAGGCCACTTCCTTGCACAACTCTTTTACGAGGAACGATCACTGACGAGGGAACCCCGAGCATACTTCTGTTGATGATCGTTCCGTACGAGGAATGGACAACGGTGGAGCGAGCTTCCCAATTCTTCCCCCTTTCGCACCAGTCTGTGGAAACTTTCCTTCCCGGTGAGTGAACGACCATTGATTGCCACCCCCTCCACACATCCCTCACACCATGCTTCAGGTGTTTAACATGGAATTCTCACAGGACGCGGCCTCCACATACCACAGTTCAAGTCGAAAAAGGTACGAGGGGTGTTGCCACTGTCATATTCAGACACACCCCTTAATCACAATGCCTCAAGCGGAGCAACGTAGCACGTACAGAATGCATCACCCTCGTACCTTCTGCTGCTACATTTTCCTCCGGTGGCCACTTGCATGGTGTTTTTCATTGACTCCAACAGGCCTTGGCAAGCAGAACACGTGGCATCAAGCTGTTTCCTTTAATCCAACAAGCCTTGGAGAGCAGCACATGTTGCATAAAGCTCTATACTGATATTCATGCCCAACCCCAAGAACTTGCCAGCACTCCCAGATCACTTCAGGAGTGACTCCAACATCCACTTGCATGGCGTTTCCTTGAATCCAAGAGGCCTTCGCAAAATTTTCGTCCCCACGAGCAAAACACAGAGCATGAAGCTGTTTCCTTTAATCCAACAAGCCTTGGAGAGCAGCACACGTTGCATAAAGCTCTATACTGATATTCATGCCCACCCCCGAGAACTTGCCAGCACTCCCAGATCACTTCAGGAGTGACTCCAACATCCACTTGCATGGCGTTTCCTTGAATCCAAGAGGCCTTCGCAAAATTTTCGTCCCCACGAGCAAAACACAGAGCACGAAGCTCTATATACTGGAATTCATGCCCACCTCCAAGAAGTCGCCAGCAGTCGACAAATGACTTCTGCAGTCGGCAAGTTAAGCTCTATACTGGACCTTGCCAGGAGGCTACAGATGACTTCTGGACTCTGCGACTTTGTACAGATCAGAGATCAGACTAGACAACAAGAGCAAGAGATGGGCAAAAACATCTTAAGTTCTTAACCCCACCAGTGGTTTCTCCGGAACAGGACTCTAGTGCCGATTCTTAGTACATACCTCTGTACATTACAGCTGCTGCCAAGAAGGCACTGCTGTCTCACACAGGGGACGTTGCAAAGCAGGCCATCCATGCGTTTCCAGCAGATCAAACTCTTGGCACATTGCTCACCAAGCGATGAACCCATCCCTGCAAAGCCTCGAACGTTACAATGAACTTGAATGAAGGAAGAAAAGCAAGTCCACAACTCCAGACAAGGTTATACGTCAATGATCTCAGGATCTGCTTCTGAACCCTTCCCTGGCATCGAGGATGCTTTTCTTGCTGCTGTGTCGGACAGCAATACCTCAACCACTTCCTCTTCTGCTTTTGGACTTGGTGGACGCTCCGTCTCACCTTCTTCCCTTTTCCTCTTGCCAAGCATGGACTCTGTCGTAGCTTCCATGACTTCATCATCATCCTCTTCAATCACCACTACACCTCCACTGCAGGTTTGAGCATCTCCGCAATTGGAATCCTCGGCACCCACTCTTGTGGGAGCAGTTTCTGATGACGCCTTCGTCGCCTGCGAGACTTCAGAGGGTTTGACATTATGCTGGCCGTTCTCACCGATCACCTTGCTCTCACTAACCTCTTTCTTTGCAACGGTCTCGGCCGAAGCAAACCCGGATCCAATCAGTACTAATCTGTCTGGTTCACGCTCTTCGTCAAAGTCCTCTCTGCCACCAAACACAAACAAAAGGGCCAGCAATCAGAACACGTGGGAACTCATTCACTCTTCCGCAAGGCCGACACGATTCAGTTTCAACAGGATCTGTTCACCGATTTAGTGAAGCCCGTGGGTAAAAATGATTGGGTTAGCGGTACGGTTTCTTACCAATTTCCATATACACTGAACAAAAATGACACAACTGCAGTTCACCAGAAAAGGCCACAACACTTGCAATGCAAGGCTCTTTGTCCCATCAACGCTAGACGAGGAAAGAGGAACCAAGAAGCGCGGAGGGAAGGAGAAGAACACAAGCTGGAAAACTAGGAGATGTGAGAGACCCTATTCAAAAGAAAGGACACCACAGAGAGACATCTTAGGTTAATCGGGTAACAAGCACCATCGGACGAGTTGACAGCAAAGAAGGGAAACGGACAGAACCAGAAAAGTGGACGTGACGTGTGCAAACTCACACGAGAAAGAGAGATACGTGCACGCGTGCGAGTTGGGGGGAGAGAGAGAGAGAGAGAGAGAGAGAGAGAGAGAGAGAGAGAGAGAGAGAGAGAGAGAGAGAGAGAGAGAGAGAGAGAGAGAGAGAGAGAGAACCTGTGCTTTATAAAAATGTTGCACTTAAAATCCTGTTGCAGATCCTCAACTGTAAGTGCCGAACCATTCGATATCGGCGGGTCAAAGTCACAGAGTCTCTGCACACATTCAGAAGATCACTGTCAATGTTGATTTCTGGGCAATCAAGACGTAACCTGACAAAGCTCCTAATGATCATAGAGATGAAATCTGTCAAATGATCAACATACATCAGTGAAACAATAAAAAACAGACGATACTTGAGGCGCATCCCAGCGGTGCGCCGTGCGCGAACGGTGCAGACCTCACGCGCATGGGCAATGCACTGGGATACACGCCACTGACCAAAAGAATACGAGATACGAAGCTCTTTCTAAGCAGCGGATGTATCTTGCCATTTTATGGGCAAGGATGCACTCATTTCATGTCGTCTCAAGTCACCCTTCTGCTGAAAGCATCTGACAGAGGACAAAACGCCCTCAGATCGGACAAATAGACCCGTTATTTTTTCTCGCGTCGCCCATTTGCCTCATCCAAGTTCCTGTTCCGTGAGCGAGCCTAGTGTCGTTTTCGGGTAGGATACAGTCGTGTTGAGGGTGTCGGGAAAGGGGTGTCGAAAATGAAACAAGACAGACGAGTCTGTCAGAGGCAAACGGCTCCAAGTACCTGCATCATCAGAAACAAGAAGACCCTTCCTTTTTCCCAAAAGAAAAGCAAAGAAAAAGAACGAGCTATCTACACCCACCCTCGCCATGACTGTATCAGACCTGAATAAGGCTTTTATGCATGAGAGAGGGGATTTGTGATGTAGTCGTTGGCCCTCTCTGGATGTTTCGGGTCCGAGACAGTCATGACGATGGTCCGTTTCACTATCATTAGTAAAGTACCAAAAACAGGACACGACTTGTCAGAACTCTCCGTGGATTCCATTTGGGCCTTCAGGTAAACACAAACCCCCTCATCATGACTGTACCGGATCTGAGACTAGGTTCCGTTCACACACACACACACACACACACACACACACACACACACACACACACACTCCTGATGAGTCGGTGAAAGTCCGACGAAACAGTCTGGTACAGTCATGCTTTTTTTGAGCGTATAGTGAATATGACAACACACACACACACACACACACACACACACACACACAGTTTTGGGGGACCACTGTGGTGTGCAGCCCCCAATTTCTTTTCCTTCTTGTGTTTGCTTTTATTTTTCCGAGGGCAGGGGCAGATCTTTCCACCACACCCCGACTCTCCCACAATTTCTTGGTGATCCATATTTTTCAGGGTGCACCGCATCACATTTGCGCGCATGTGCGCGCGTGCGCACCTGGCGGGCATGAGATGCGCTGCAAGTATGAAACAAACGCAATCCAAAACTGGTGTCATCCCGATCCCAATGCGGTAAAATACACCAAAAATCTACAAAAAACACCCACATAGCCCAAGAATCAGAGAGCAGCTAAATAAACACTGTTCAGGATTGAAGCGAGGTCAGCATATGGCAGTCAATGGCTTGACAAGATACCGACAGAGAATGCTGACTTGTCTCTCACTCACTGCTCCACAAAATCATACTCAACTGTCAACTAGTCATCAGAGTGGAAAGATGCGAAACTGAACTTACACCAGCACCCACTCCCGAGTCAAAGAGAGTGCGAATCAGAGAGAAGCTAAACAAATACTGGTAGTGCACAGAGTGCCATCTGGTGACAGCCTGGTGATCACACAGAGTTCCATTCTGAAACCGACAGCCATTCCCAGTAACAAAGGTCGTCCAGGAGTGACATAATGGCAGAAAAGGGAGAAATATAATGCAAGGCATCCCCAAGTGTCCAAGGGCCTCTGCATTATAGAGGACAAATGTATTCTCTATGTTGGTTGCTATCCTCTCCCCTGGCAACTGCTCTCTCTCTCTCTCTCTCTCTCTCTCTCTCTCTCTCTCTCTCTCCCCCCCCCCTCTTCCACCCCCCGTCTTTTTCCCCGTCTTTTTCCCTCCCCCCTGCTGGTTGTTCCCCTCCCTGTCTCCTGTCTCTTATACACATCTAGATGTGTATAAGAGACAGCATCCAGGCAAGTCGCCTGGGATTCCCAGTCATAGGGTAAGTGGTGTGTTTTCTCTTTTTTTCGGGTTTCCTGTGCATGTCCAGAGGAGCCCGAATCTGGGCTCTTTCCTCTTTTCGAACCTTGGCTGTCAAGGGAGGTGGGGGGGGGGGGGGGGGGGGGGGGGGGGGGGGAGTGGGGGGGGGGGGGGGGGGGGGGGGGGGGGGGGGGGGGGGGGGGGGGGGGGGGGGGGGGGGGGGGGGAAGGGGGTTATGAGTTGGTTTTGAAGGGGCTACAGGGGTAAAGATGTGTTCCTTAGTCTGATGCTGTTGTTTTCTTTTTCATTTCTTCGATTCTGTGCGGAATTCTGATATGACCCTCAGCCAAAAGTCGTTTGCATTGCAATTCTACACACCATTGCATTGCAATTCTACACACCATATTTTTTCCCGATTTTTTTCCTCTTTTCTTGTGTTGGGGCTGCCTGGAACCCTGCCTGGGGGTTATGCCCAGCCGGGCACCGGGGTGCATATCCAGGCACAAGTTGTGTGCCTGGGCATTGGGAAAAACAGCCGATTTTTACTCCCTTCTGTTCTTTTTTCTCTTTTGACTTTTTTTTCTTCCCCCCCTTTGCAATCCTACTAGAGTCATCGATAAGCCATCCAGGCCGTCAAGCCCAGGACGGCCAGGCCTCAACTTCCCAAAGAAACTAGGCTGGTCAAAATAGGGCAAGACATTTCGAGAAAAATAAAGTTTTGACTTTGAGGTCAACCCATGCTTGACCTAAGTGGTCCTAACGACGGGTTCACCGCAGGGAGGATTGGGAGACCTCGAAATTAGCCAAACACGTCAACCATTTCCTCAACATGCATCACGACATAAAGGACATACAGACTAACAATGGGACCAAATTCAAAGGAGATTCAGAATAAGTAATAAAGACTCTAGTCGTGCATGGCGTCTTGATTCATAACACCGCGCCGCAGATCATGTCATCCCAATCAAACAGGTTAGTTGAAAATGCCAACCAGATGATTAGGATAGTCCTCCGTAGACATATTGCCGCAAATGGTGCACGGCTGAGATCGTCGAGCACATGGTAGCAGTCCAGCAAGGCTCTTACATGCACAGATATGCAATGTACGTAATAACCGAGGAACTGCAGTGTGATGAAAAGGACTGAATGGACAATACGGTGCGAGTAGAATCTCGACAGACAATGTGCATTCTCATACATACAAAAGGTGCTGAATAGCGCAGGGAAGACTTCGATACAAGGACTGACCTGACAGGACTGACCTCATTCACGTAGTTCAGAGTAACGAAGGAGAATGCTAGAATACTACTAACTAGCCCAATCAATGTTTGAACTCAGACTAAACATGCATGATATCCATCACCGAGTGTGAAGGAGCGGCGCTGTACACAGGAAGAGAGCGCCAGGTCCAGACATACACAGACGAAGAGATAAAGATCAGACGAAAGGAGGGAGAAGGATGGGAATGTCGTTAACACCAAGTCTTGGTCACCAATCCCAAATAGTCCCTCGTTGCCATGTCTGAACCCCCAAAAGTCGAGTTTGGATCAAATGTCACCAAGCTCTGTATCTCTTCTCTCATAGTCTGCAAATGCAGTGAAGTCAGAAGTTGAGAGGGAGAGAAGAGATGGTGGACTTGAGAAAAGGAAGAAGAAGAGCTCTCTCTCTCATCCTGTTACGAACCAGATACTAACCTGTGATGTGGCGCTGTGCTGCAGGTACCTCGAAGACGAAGCTGGAGCAACGGCGCTGCAGGTAGGTACCTCTGGCCTCCGCCCAAGCTCTCTCTCTCTCTCTAGTACTACCTAGCTATGGCGCCCAGCGCTGGAGACTACAGCTACCTACTGCGCCCAGCGCTGAAGACTACAAGCTAACGCTACTACTACTACACTGCAGCGCTCCCTCCAGAGTGCTGCTCCCGAATCCTGAAGACTACAACTGCCGACTGCATACCTCGGAAGTGCCTGTGAAGTCCTATGTACTACCTCGGCCTGCCTCCTGACTACTGGAGGACAGTCAGGCCGAGGAGGCAGCTCTTGCCAATGCCGAAGTGTGCCAGGGGCTGGCGTGCAGCAGCCTGCTTGAGGCTGGCGTGGGAAACAGACTATTAATAGTCTGTTCCCGAAACCCTGGTTCGGTGCCTGAGTTTCAGGRYCGGTCGTTCTGATGAACGACCGGAAAYGGCCCTTGGGTTCAGGCTAAAAATGCTACTACCATTTTTAGTCTGAACCGTCGCAGGGGCTGTAGGTCCTGAAAGTCAGGCTTTCGGCCTGAACCGACATGGGGCCTATAAGCCCTGGATTTCAACTTTTGGCCTGAAATTCAGGCTTTTGGCCTGAAAACCGTAGGGCCTGCAAAATGGCCGTCGGGCCTGCGAAATGGCCCGTGTGTGCACGCGCTGCATGTAACCCCCCCCCCCTCCTTATGAAGTCAAGCCGGGGAGAGGGCGAAGCCGTCGATCTGAAGGTGGAACCTGTACGCGGGCGCCGCGGGGAGCTGAAGAAACCTTGCCTTGCATCTTGCGTCCGTAGCGTGCGATAACGTCTGGAGCTGTTGGTTGGCGTTCCGCACGGGTTAACCAACGGTCAGCTCGGTGTGTGCAGTACGCAAAATGCACTAAATACTCAGTTGGCTTGTTGCCAAAGCGTCGCTGGGAGATGATGTTGCCGACCTCCTGAAAACCATCCATAGAAGGTGGGTCTTGCGTACGTCTCGCGGGAAAGTCATCATGATCCGCTGGCGTGTAGAGAGCCAGTTTGGAGCAACGAAAGACTGGGTCGACAGGCAAGGGGCTAGGCACCTGAATCGTGAAGGAGGGTCCTTCGGGTGCGTCCCCAGCGGGCTCTATGATCGGCCAAGGCCCCATCCATTTCGGACGGGCTTGCGAGAGACGTCTTGTTCAAGGCTGAATTCCACTGCGGAAACCCAGACGAGGCCCCCGGCGCGGAATGGACAAGGAAGACGCTGGCGATTGGCCTGCTGGCTCATGCGCTGCTGCGTCTTTTGCCATCTGGTCGCGTGCCTTGAC